ATTATTAATTAATTATTATTTTTAAATGATTCTGTTTTTAATTATTTTTTTATTATTTTACATATTTATACTGTTTGTTTGTCCCTAATTGAGTTTTTGTGAAATATAGTATATCTGCAGTTAATCTCAGATTATGTGATATTTGTCTGTGTTTGGTCCAACAGATCTGATTATTAATTAATTATTATTTTTAAATGATTCTGTTTTTAATTATTTTTTTATTATTTTACATATTTATACTGTTTGTTTGTCCCTAATTGAGTTTTTGTGAAATATAGTATATCTGCAGTTAATCTCAGATTATGTGATATTTGTCTGTGTTTGGTCCAACAGATCTGGAGTGTGCGGATGTTCCGTTATTGACTCCAGGAAGTAAAGAAATGATGTCACAGGCTCTTTTGGCCACATTCAGCGGCTTCACCAGGGAGCAACAGCGGCTCTCCATCCCAAAAGGTCCAACTCTACAGCACTTCCATCTCTCTAACAACTCTCTAGAGTAAATCCTATATCCATATTTCTGTAGCTCTCTCTCTCTCTTTAAGGGAAAGTTCCTGGCTCAGTATTCTGTAGCACTAGGCTGTTTTTGAAATGACCACAATCAGATTGCCTAAAAAGAGATCTTGCTAGATAGGCACATGGCACTCTGAAGCAGCAGAGGTTATGAATTATGCTTCCCAAACTATGTCAGACCGCAGGATGGCTTTACTTGCTGTGTCTGGGGAGGCTGAAGTCTGTGTCGGGTCTGCGTCTGTCTGGAAATAGCAGTTGTGGAGCATGTGCACAGCCGAAAGAGATAGAGAGAGAGAGTTGGTGTCTAGGTCTGTAGGCTAAAATTACAGCTGTTTCAGTTCCTCTCATCATGGCATCAAATTTATAACAAAATCAGCTGATAAATTCACATGAGCCACTGGACCTGCGACTAAAGTATTGCATGCATCAGCACTACAACTACACAATATTAGTGTCTTGATGGTTTATGGGCATAGCATGCTTGCGTAAACATTTTGTAGTTGATCATGAAACAGAAACCTACTGTTTCTTTCTTTAATATGATGCAATCTGTACAATATATGTAATAAATTAATTGCATCTGTCCTTTTCTCTTCTCTAGACCCCCGTCAGTGGACAGAGGCCCATGTTAGAGAATGGTTGACCTGGACAGTAAATGAGTTCAGTCTGAAGAATGTGGACTTTCATAAGTTCAGCATGGACGGGGCCAATCTCTGCGCACTGGGCAAAGAGCGATTCCTGGATCTGGCACCAGACTTCGTGGGCGACATCCTCTGGGAGCATTTAGAGATGCTGCAGAAAGGTAGACATCCTCACAGCCTCATGAAAGACACCGCTCGTCAACCACTGTTATTGTACTATCATTGAGATACTGTTATAATTGTTTTTCTGTTTTCATTTGAATTTTAGAGAATTTTCTTTTTTGTAATTTTGTTGTGTTTTTGTTAATATCTTTTTATTTTTATTATTAATATATTTTTTAATATATCTGTATTTTTAAGTTTTAGGGTTAGGGTTAGTTCTAGTTATTTAAACACTTAAACTAAAAATGAGAAATTTTGTGTTGACAACTAGCTAAAATACAATTTATTTTTAAATATTTAATTTCAGTTCATATTTGCTTTACTTCAATTTTTTTAATGTTTTAGTTAATGGTAATAACCCTGTCTTCAGTAAAAAAAAAATTTATGACAGTAATCTGAATTTAAATAAATATTATATTCATATTTATTCAATTATTTTAATGTATACTGTACATATATTATTTTTTATTAAATTTATGAATACTTGTAGTATTAGTATATTTTAATTCATTTATTTTAGTTTGATTTAGTTAGTTATGCCCACTATAGTTCATTATTCTAAATTAAAAACTTGACACATTTGAAACTTGACAGTCACAGGTGTCAGTATATGTTTATTAAAATGTGATTATAAATAGAAAATCACAAAATGCGCTATTATTATTATTATTATTATTATTATATGTCCAAATGAGCAGCTGCATTGCGATACATACTTCAACTTAGAAACCTCACACATTAATATAGAATTTGACAGATGTATTGTAGTCACAGGTGCGAGTATGAATACAGATCATCCCATTAGAATTTTGAGCTGTAATGTTATTTATAAAGTGACTTTTACAAACGAGTAAGATACTTTACAGTAAATCATCTTTAGCAGATTTTATCATCTAGATTTGATAACGTGTGCTATGATTTTGTCATGTCAAATGCTGGAAGCATGTATGAGGTTTCACATTTCGAAAGCCTGTAAAGTAAATTCCTCTCAGACATGCATATCAAAGCAGTTTCTGTTGCACTACCTCGCACAATCTAATCTGTTACACAAACTCATCTTCGAAAGTGTGCATGGGTTCAGTGATGTGTGTCGTTTTCTTCACACAGAAGACCTGAAGCATTTCCCTGTCAACGGTCTGACCTCCAGTTTCCAGGAATCCCGCTACCCCTCCGACTACTTCTTCAGTGAGTATCTGTCCTTTCTTTCAGTTCACGTCATCACTACACGTTCAGCACTTCAGTCATGACTCTACTCGATGTTGTCTGTAAGTGAAGGCAGTTAAAGAAATCATTAACACCTGCCTTAAAGGAAAAGTTCATTCATCAAATTTCTGTATTAACTTACACTTATGTCATTCAATTCTCACTTTATTAATACAGAGAGAGTTGTTGCTGTCAAGCTAAGTACTAGAAAAGCACCATGAAAGTCTGAGTTCATTCAAAGCGATACAATGTTTTGCAGTGATATTAAAACTGATAATTATTTTCCTGTTATTAACAGTCATGTCGCTGATGTTAATTATTTTGCCTAAATAGCTAAAAAAAAAAAAAAAATCAGTTGTTTTCAATGCTACAAGTGAATTTAAGCATCACAACATTATAGTATACAGTATGAAAAATTGATATTTATTTTATTTTTGTTAAGTACTAGTATCAATATGAATTTGAAGTAAGAATTAGATGACTGCAGAAGTACTCCAAATGTAAATCATGAAATAAAGACAATTCAAAATCTAATATTGACCGATACAATAAACAATCGCAAATTTTAGCCGATATTGTGTACCGATATTGTAACTGATACATCACGCATCGCTAAATTTAAGTCATTATTCACTGATAATCTTTACCTCCACTGCAGATCTCAAATTAAACATGATGACTGTAGTGTAGATTAGTGCAGATTAATTAATTAAAGCCTTAATTAATTACTAATGACCAGACATAATCACATCATTTTGTAGTGCAGACCAGTTTTTTTCAGTATCACTGATATACTATTATAGTTTTTGTTGATATTTTGAATTAGATTTGTTATATATATATATATTCTGTTTTTATTTTAATTTTAGATTTATTTTTTATGTCTTTATAGTTTTTATTAAGTTTTATTTTTAGTTATTTAATGCTTCAAAAAAAAAAGAAAAAAAGAAAATGTTGTTTTGGCATCTAGCTAAAAAAATTATAATAATTATTATTTCAGATAATCTTTATTTAATTACAAGTAAAGCCCCGTTCACACCAAGAACGATAACTATAAAGATAACGGAATTAGCATCCACACCAGCGAACGATATCATCTGTAAATGCACGCTCCTCTGCTGCTTTAAATTCTCAAGCTCGTTATAGCAGGATGGATTCTGATTGGCTGTCAACGTTTTTTTATCGTTCATCAGCTGGAAAAAATCGTTCTGAAAGTGATTCCAACGATATTGTTTCTCTGTGCCTTTGTCGTTATAGTTGTGGTGTGGATTCTGCTATTCTATAATATTGAAAACGATTTTTAGAGCTATATATTTATCGTTATCTTTATAGTCATCGTCCTTGGTGTGAACGGGGCTTAATGCATTTTTTTTTTTTTTTACATTTTTAGATAATAATAATAATAGCCCTGGTGCCGACAGTCTTTGGTCACTATGTCATTTTATGGAAAAGGTCTATGCAAATACTATTCTTTTTAAAATTGTCTTCTCTTTGTCGTTCTTTCCTCCAGACTATGGCATTGAACATCCTCAGTGTGTCCCTCCGTCAGAATACTCCGAGCCGAGCTTCATCACCGAGTCCTACCAGACCCTCCACCCGATCAGCTCAGAAGACCTGCTGTCGCTCAAATACGAGAGCGAGTATCCCAACGTTATACTGCGAGACACGCCTCTCAATCCACTGCAGGGAGACTACTTCTCAGTCAAACAAGAAGTTGTGTCACCCGACAACATGTGTGTGGGACGCATTAGCAGAGGTGAGTATGGGCCAAAGGTCACGTGTTTCGATGCAAATGAAACCGCGTTCATGCGAGGTCTAGATTAATACGGCATAAACGTTCGGGAGGCGAAAGCTAATTCCTCTCGTCTTAGATGCGTGTTTACCATCTCCCATCGAGGCTTAAATTGATCCCCGTCACCCCCACAGTGATCAGCAGTGTGTGGTCTCCAAAACGCCGCTCTCATCTCGCATTACTGCAGTTATGCACACATTGCCAGGGAATGAAGTAGACCGTTGGGTTTGTTTGTGGTTCTATCTTACACCATCTCGAGATGCTCTCAACTGCGGTGGGGAAAAAGGAGAGAAAAACAAAGCTGTTTGCTTCAAAGTGAGAGATGTTTGAAGCCACAAAGCGCTGGTAGCTGTCTTTTGTGTGACGGCATCTGCGTGAGGTTACGTTACTGGGGTACGAGGTGTTTTTGTGAACCTTAGGTTCTCGTAAGGAGCGAGAGGTGTAAAGCGTGAAAAGAGCGTTCCGGTTTCTCATGAAGTAACTTTACCTCACGTACGTCTGGTTTCGCTCCCGCTCATCGAATAAAAACAGCCCGCCTGTCTAACCATCGTGCAGCTGAACAAATGATTATGATTTGGATTGGACGTTGAGATTTGTTAAAGTCACTTGTATATTTTTGAACAACGCAGAGATTTGGGTTTTCACCCTCTAGGTACGCACTGTGGAGTAAATCCCAGCTTCGGCAACGGCGCTGTGTTTCTCCTGCATGGGAAAGTATTTGTGGTGCCACCAAACTCGCATGTGGCTTCAATTTTTCAATTGAGGATTTCAGGATCAGTCCCAGCTCTGTATTATCTTTCATTCTGTAATTGGCATTCGATCGAGACCAGGCCTTTTATCTCCAGCTTGGCCAAAAATAGAGAAGCAATTTGTTTTGATTTTCGTCCAATTAGAGAAAACCCAAATATTTCCACATGGAAATTGTGTAAGAGAAACACTGTGTGGTGTGGACTGCTTGTGAACTTCTCTGGCTGGTGTAGCTGCCAAACTTTGCACCTTCTGTAACCAAAGACATTGGGTTCATGGGTAGAAATAAAGGCCAGGGGCCTCATTTATAAAAGACACGTACAATCTGATTTGTGGCCCTGGAGCACAACAGCAGTGTTAAGTCGCTGGGGTATATTTGTAGCAATAGCCAACAATACATTGTATGAGTCAAAATTATAGATTTTTTTTTTATGCCAAAAATCATTAGGATATTAAGTAAAGATCATGTTCCATGAAGATATTTTGTACATTTCCTACTGTAAATATATTCAAATGTAATTTTTGATTAGTAATATGCATTGCTAAGAACTTCATTTGGACAACTTTAAAGGCAATTTTTTTCAATAGTTTGATTATTTGTTGCACCCTCAGATTCCAGATTTTCTAATAATTGTATCTCGGCCAAATATTGTCCTATCATAATAAACCATACATCAATGGAAAGCTTATTTATTCAGCTTTCAGAATTGTTGACCCTTATGACTGGTTTTGTGGTACAGGGTCACATTTGATCCTAAATTCCATGAAGTTTATGCTATATAACAAGTGAGGAACAAATCAGGATTTATAAAGTCAAAAATGTACGTGAAAATGTTCTTATATGTACACCAACTGAAAAGTAAGCGTGCAAACATTTTGCATTCTTATATACTCATATGCATTCATAAATTAAAATAATCCAGCATTGTTTATTACGATATAAAGATAATATGTATTAATATTATTATATTGCAAACAGGCAACTGTTTTGTAATAAATATGCCACTTACATTAATTCAATAATCACACACTTCCTGAAAAAAAAAAAAAACTTTTTTTTTTTTTTTACATTTCAGAAATTGTTGTACATTCATATTTAGGAACAGTTCAGTGTTTATATTATTATACTTTACATTTTAATTTAGCTGTGTGTGTGTGTGTCTCTATATGGATTTTATTTTTATTATTTTTCAGGTTTAGTTATTTTATTACATCAACTTACATCTATTTTATTTAATTTAGCATTTTGATTTAGTTTTAGTTAACTATAATGGGACATTTTTTGCATGTCTTTATAAATGAGGATGCTGATCTTTAAAGGAAAAGCCTGTTGGTTTTAAAAGTCACCATTCTACTGTTATACGCTTTTATTTTTTATTTTATTTAGATATTTAGAAGAATGTCCATGTTCCTCTTTTCCATATAACATGCATTCGATCAAAACACTGTCTGTTTGAATATGTGGAATGAAAATTGACTGTGGATGATGTTTAATAACAGTGAAATCTCCGTCGCAGGTAAGCTGGGAGGTCAAGATTCGTTTGAGAGCATTGACAGTTTCGAGAGCTGCGACAGACTGACGCAGTCCTGGAGTAGTCAGTCGTCATTCAACAGCCTACAGAGAGTTCCCTCCTACGACAGCTTCGACTCGGAGGACTATCCCACCGCACTGCACGGACACAAACCAAAGGGTACCTTCAAAGACTACGTACGAGAGCGCTCGGAACTCAGCAAGGACAAACCGGTCATCCCGGCGGCTGCGCTCGCTGACATGTTTATATATATATATATATATATATATATATATATATATATATATATATATATATATATCATAAATCATATTACATGTTGCATGCAATATTCATATGCTGTATACCATATGAAAAAAATGTCATTCCATATATCATATTTTAAATATGGCATGCCATATTGTATAACTTATACCATATCATATAAAAAAATTTATTCAGTATATCATAAGTTAAATTATATATCATATTGCATACCATATCATATTAAAAAAACATGTTATTCCTTATATCATAAATCATATGTATATATCATGTTGCATACCATATGATATAATCCATATATCAAATGCATATTATGTTACTTCATATATATTATATCAAATAGCACACGATGAGTTATTCCATATCATATTTGAAATATTGCATGCCATATTATATACTTTATACCATATCATATCAAATAATGTTATTCAATATATCACAAGTCATAATATATATATATCTTATTGCATACCATATCATATCAAAAAGCAAAGGATATGTTATTTCTTACATCATAAATCATATTTATGTGTCATATTGCATACCATATGATATATTCCATATATCAAAAAGCATATGATGTTACTTCATATATCAAATAACATCATATCATATGATGTTTTTCCATATATATGATATAATATGCCATATCATAAACATACAGTGACAAATGAAATATCTATGATGATGAAAAAAAAAAAAAGGAATCGGCAAGCATTTGGATTCACACGTTTATGCATGAGTCCTGCTAATGGAGACGTCTCGTCTCGTCGGTGAAGACGAGTCGTGCACCAGTTTTGAATGCATTGGTGCACTTTTTAACCGCAGAGCCACATTTGTTACACGGCTGTAAGAAAGTCATGGCAGTGTTTTTGTGAGCGGCTCGTGCACCAGCAAACACGCCACACCCCGGCCTCTTCACATCAAAACACACGTTCCCTCCCTCCCCGTCTCGTTCTCGCCGCTTCTATCACTGCCTCCTGCTCTCCGTTTCTTTCTCTGCTGTTTTCATCTTGTACTCCTTATCTGCGGCCCACATCTCAACCCATTTCCCAGGTCGTCTTGGCAACAGAGGGCGCAGCACAAAGTGATAGCAGCCCTGTGCACTTAAGCTGAGAGCTCCTTTATCGGCCCATCTCCGAGGGCCTTTTTTAACCTTGTGCCATACGTCTCAAACCTGCCTGCTCATATATCTGAAAACACAACAGAAGAACACTTCCCTACACCGGCCGCACTCACTATGTGTATTTCTATTTTGGGAATCTAAGGTTTCTTTGAACATATAAAGCACCGTTTTGCCTGTACCGGAGTTGGATGTCATCTGGGATTCTCCATACTAGATCCGAGTCATTTTTCCCATAAGAGATGATAAAATGCCTTTGTTTTTGTATATGTGCACATGCATGAGGAATACTGCAGAACATATTTCTATAATGGACAGAACTACCTGCTTTTACGAGTGTTACCGCAGTGTCAACACAACAGCCGTCAGAGTTCAGAGCTGAGGTAGATAAAGCCAGCAAGTGACAAAAAAGATCTATTTGCTCGCAGAGCTCTGAGGTTTTGTGTTTGTCATCATTAATCACATACGCACGTACAGATCCATCAGATCTGTGAGGAGAGCAGCACAACCACAGCACCGCAACACACTTTCTTCAGCGACGGCTGATTTGGAACTTTACAGGGCGGCTTCCTTATAAAGACGCACGCACACATTAAAGGGACAGTTCACCCAGAAAAATAAAACTCGTACTCTTAGACCACAAAAGGACGTTTAGAAGAATGTCCATGCTGTTTTGTTTTTTGTTTTTAGTGTAAGTGAATAGGGACTGGGTGGTCAAGACAAAAAAGCACCAGAAAAGTGGCATAAAAATAGTTAATATGACAGTGTATGTCAGTCCAATTCTTCTGAAACCTTATGATAACTTTGTCTGATTACCAATTACCATTTGGCATTACTGACAACTACTTTGTTAGCACTTTACAGTAGTACTGTATTAACTAACATTGAGCAATATTTACAATATTTCTACCATTTATTAATCTTTGTTAATGTTAGTTAATACAAATACAACTGTCCATTGTTAGTTCAGGTCCATTTAATAACAACTTTAAAATTTTAATAATGTATTAGATTAACATGAACTAAGATTAATAAAGTATTTTTCATTGTTAGTTCATGTTAACTAATGTTAATAAATGTTACATTTACTTTCATGTATTTTGGATATTGGTCACCATTTACTTTCATTGTGTGGAAAAGTGCAACGTGAACATTCCGCTAAACATCTTCTTTTGTGTTTCATGGAGAAAAAAAAGAGAAAAAAATAGTCATACAGATCTGGAATGACATGAGGGCGAGTATTAATTCGAATTCACACAGAAATATTTTTTTTTAGTGTGAACTATTGTGAACATTCCGCTAAACATCTTCTTTTGTGTTTCATGGAGAAAAAGCTCAATCCTTTTAAGCTCAATGTTAGCAATCCAAGTTTTCAGAAATCCTCACCTTGTTGTAATCATGCACTCACTTCAAGCAAAATGACCTTAATGTACTTTTAAAGCTTTGCTGAAAGTCGGCGGTGGATTTCTCTGTCAGTCTGAGGGTTTGGTTCAGGCGTTCCCGGCCTGTTTGGGTGTAATGAGGGTGCGTTACAGTAGCTGAGCTTATGGAATGTGTTTTAATGCATTTACCTACATAAACAGATTACTACATTGATCCAGATGAGTGATTTTAGTGATTCATATGTTTAAATGGAGACAAAGAGAGGCAGACAGACGGAGAGGGAGAGAGTTAGAATGAACTGTTGAATTGTTGATGAGATAATCGGTTTCAGAATTGCATTAGTGTTTTATTGCATTATCGGCAAGGATATTTTTAGCTGGATGTAACACGCAGTGGTGAATTCACTAAGAATGAATTGCGCCTGCTGTTATCGCCATGTATTTTGCATGTGCGTTGCTTTCCCGTCCAGTGCACCAAAGGAATAATGCAGATTAGGTAACTGAATAAATGTAGCATACAGTCTATGCTTCAAGTAATTGTGACATTATTACTTTACATTATGTGACATAATGTGTCTTCTGAATAATGTGCTAATCTAAAATAAGCCCTGAAAGCATAGAAATTAGGGTAGCACCAATATTAAAATTCTGCCCGATTTGCACTTTTTATTTTATTTATTTATTTATATTTTTATTTTATTTTATTTTATTTTATTTTATTTTATTTTATTTTATTTTATTTTATTTTATTTTATTTTATTTTATTTTATTTTATTTTATTTTATTTTATTTTATTTTATTTTATTTTATTTTATTTTATTTTATTTTATTTTATTTTATTTTATTTTATTTTATTTTATTTTATTTTATTTTATTTTATTTTATTTTATTTTATTTTATTTTATTTTATTTTATTTTATTTTATTTTATTTT